TGAAGAAAGTAGATATGAGACATGCTGATGGTGTAGAAAAACTCCTTGGTTATATATATAAAAAAAAAAAATTAAACTGTTTTATTCATTCTTTCTAGGCAGCTAGTTCTGCGAGCGGGATTCTAACAGAGCAGGAGAACTCATTGCTTGAGTGCACTTACTTTAGTTCCACATCTTATCCAACTCTAGGAACTTGAACTTGTCATTATCAGACACAGAAGGTCAATGCATTAGCCATGGTACAGGCTCTTTCATGTGGCCTTTCTGAAGAGGAAAAAACAGCTTTTAATCTTTGCTTTTATAAAATACTGTGCGTACTGGGATACATCCTAACTTGTCATTTTCTCGTCTGTTTTAGTGCTGGGGGATATCTGGAGACGCTTTATGATGCCACACAGATACACACGTCTGCAAAAGGCCTAATCTGAAGTGAATCTTCTATAAATAATAAACAACAAATAGGTTCCTTTTAGTTATATTAGGCCCAAAATAGGTCATGTACATTTGTTTTAAATGCAAACGTAACAATAAAGTAAATTCCCTAGGTGGAGAATTTGATGTGTTTGTGCAGATTTTCTGGACACAGTACAAAAAAAGCCAACACCTATATTTTACCATTTAAAATATTTATATATTGTCTCCTAAGGTCCTCTGTTTGAAATACTGTTTATAATAAACACCCAGCTAAAGGACTAATAGTCACAGTGTAAACACTTGCCATTTGTTACTTAATCCCAAAGTAGTCTTTATTAACTTTCTTTTGTATGGAAACTCAGTGCTTTGTGTTATTACCAGAAAAGTTGCCATTTTTGTCAGTTCCTTCCTTCCAAATGATCTTATTTTTCCATATCTCTTAATTTAAGATGTCCTCTTCTTCAAGTCAAAACAAACTGTTACTGAATTATCTGACTGGCAAGACATATGTGCAAAATGCATTTATATTTCAGATTAACTTTCTGATAGATCGTAGCTAGTTCCTAGACTGAAGTTGTTCAATGTGCAGATATATTAATAGTAAAATGATACCCTACATGAGAGTAAATTGGCATATCGAGTAAGTCAGTACTTATGCTAAAAAAAAAAAATAGAAAAAAAAAAAAAGAAAAAAATCACTAAAAAGAGGAGTAACGAGAGGAAAATCTAGATGTGTGAATTTTCTGTAAAATTGCAGTCTTATACCTCAGGGGAGCAGGTTTTTTTTATTTTGAGGTCCACAGGGTCTTGCAGTTTCACAGGCTTCTTCTCAGGAAAGGTGATTAAGGAAGGCAAGCTTTGTGTCAGTAGGCTTTCACTCTGTTGGCTGGGCACCTCCGCTGGAAATATTAATGCAGCTTTCAAATAATAATAATAAAAAAAAAAAGTCTGAGAAGACTACCCGGCAATCCTTTTAACACTCCCCCTGAATATTAGAACTAATCTGTTAAATTGTGTGGGTAACTACAATATAAAGGAAAGCATATCTGAGAAATACACAATTTATTGTGGTTGTTTGGAATTAAAATGGCTATGACACCTATTGTAATTTTCATACTATTTCTGCCTAATATAATGGTGTTTGGATTTTAATTGGAGTCTTTAAATGCTAGTATAACACAAATAATACATATAGGATATCTCACAGCAATATTAGACAAAGGTAAAATGCTAAAAATTGTAGTGCTATGTGTTTCCAGCTTATGTTCTTCTGTGGAGCTAGCTAGAATCTTAAGTTCTGTGTGTCACCCATTGTAATATACATAATTTCTGCATCCCTATTCATGTTCATCCCTGAGATGCATTGTAAAAGTGTAAATCCATCACTAGATAATTTTCAGTTCCATTATTTACAAAAATGAATAGTTAAGCAAGTCATTGTTAGTGGGATGCTATTGTTGTTTCACAGAGATAGGGACTGCCAAGGTCTTGAATGATGTACACTTGAATGTTCTTTCAAGACACTTGTACCTGTTTCATTTGGGAGGAGTTTCACTCATGTAAAATCAAACAGAAACAATTTTAGTAGCCTCTGAAAAGAGAAGAAGGGAAAATGGATATTAATGAACTGTTTAATATTCTGCTACGGAAAAGATGCAGTGATTTTGCTGTTGACACTTTTGCATGGAATTAAAGAGATCTGGTGGTTGTTTTACCCGTCTGTCTTTGTTCGTGAAAGACTTTTCAGTGTCATCAGATTTGGTTTTGTAACCTAAGAGATATTCTACCGACATGCAGACAAGTAAAAATCACTTCTTTTTCATAAAATTCATTGGTATTCAGAACGTGGGCCTTTGATGAGTTAGAAATTTTGGCTAAAGCTTTAATGAGATTTTTATTTAATGAACTTATGTCAGAAATGTGTAGGCTCCATGATTCACAATTCTGAATCTTTTTTTTTTTTTTTCCCCAAGAATATTTCTGGCTCGTTTATTACTCAATATCTTATTGATTTGTGAGTTGAGAAGTTCACAATGAAGGTGGAACAGTTTAGAGCTATAGATCTTTCCTGCATGGTCTGCATTGACATGCTTGCTTGCTACATTCAGGTAAGCATTTGCAATTCAAGGTTATGCAGCCAGTACCATGGCAGAAGTTACGTAGGTAGCTGCAGAATCCTGTAATAGATGTGCTGTTACATCAAGTGTCTGCTGGTTCTGTAGTTCCCGTGGATTAAGACCAAATCTTGTCCGTACATCAATGCCTGCAGTGAAGCAGCAGTGGAGGGAGAAGGGCGAGGCAAGGACCGTGGAAGGCTGGGGGTGCAGGCTTCTTTGGGACCTGTCGGTACTGTTGTGGTTTTTGGCTGAACTTCTTTTGTGATGCAAAGTGGCATTGACAGTACAGTCCTTAATGTGGGAGAACTTGTGGAACGGAGCCTGTACCAGAGGGATCTGTAGAGGTGGTTGTCTCCTTTTTTTGCGACTGTGTCTTTTTTATTAGGCAGTGCTCATCAGTGCATGTAAGTTCCCTTTAAGTTTTCAGCTGACAATACTGTAATGGCAAGAGCTTGTGTCTAGGGCTGTGTTCTCAAGAAGCTGTGCTGTGAATGTAGACAAGCAGATTTATGTACTTGCTGCATAAATGTAACTAGATAGCCAGTTGTATTTATTTCATATTTAGTAAAATATTTCATCATGTACCCGGTTGTTTCATTGCAGATGGACAAGTAATTTGGGAAGCTTTCCACAAGCTGTCATGGAATAGTCTTAGGTTTTATAGCCTCTCCTCTGCTCCTGTGCTGTGTTATTCACAGAAGTTCTCCTAACTCAGAACCGTTTGGTTCATGTCTTACCACATTTTGATAACTTAAATATGCTCTGTCATGTTAAAAATAATAGAAATATTGCAATTATTGTTGTAGATTATCCTTTATGTAAAATGGATTTTATTTTATTTTTTTTTCAGGGACACAACACTTAAACGTTTTGGTAGTCACTGAAAAGCAGGGGGTATATCTGTGTACAATCTTAGCAGTTACTGAAACTCTTTGAAAGCAAATTTTTTCCTGTCTGCTTTTCTCTCAACCACTTTCGGGGATTAGATTTGTGCTTATACCGTGATAGCCTATCTATTTAGGCTTCCTCGATCACTTATCTTGCTGGGTTTTGGTTTGTTTGCACTTGGACTCCTTTTCTCTTTAATGCTGTGCTTCCTTTGGCTGTGCAGGATCCGTAGCACCGTGGTAGTGGCTCAGACACCTGCCAGTGCCTGCGAGGTGAAGCCCTGACTGTGCCAGGTTAGGGATGGCTTGAGACTCGTGCGTGCAGATCCCTGCTCCGTTTTTGTGTTGGTATCTGCCTGATGGAATTGCCTCTCGTTATAAGTGACCTCTTCCTCTTGCTATACTTTTCTCTCCTTCAGTTCAGGAAACATCAGTGAAGAATAACAACGTTTTTTACAGCTAAGGTCAGAGGAGTGGGGAAATACTCGGCATCCAGCCTGGAGCAGAGAGCTCTTTGCTCTGGAGCAGAGATCTATTATGTCAGTTCTTAGTGTTAGAAATAATTCTGGATGTGAATTGAGATTAAAATGTAATATAGTTCAGTGTTTAGAGATGACAAGTCATTTTTGGTCTGCTTAAAATTGCATGGTTGACTCCAGGACCTGTTTTAGCCCATCTTATCTTGCAAACCCTGCAATCTCTTCTCCACTCTTCTAGAAAGAAACATAATGCATCTGCTACTGCTTGAAGCTTCTTTTCCAAAAATCTTTTCCAGAAAGAAGAAATTTGCTGGCTGGAAGTTTCAGTTCTTAATAGTATCTGAATATTTTAAGAGAACATTTTGGAGGCCAGAAATATGATGAATCTGTGAAAGCTTGTCTGTGTACCCCTCAAGTTTTCCTCTGGTATGTCTATTTGACATGGGTTATTTTAACATGTGACAGATGTTTGAAAGTTAAAACATTTTTTTGGGTGATCAGTTATGCCCTGATTGGCAGATTTAAAAACAAAATTAAAATATGGTTTTGACACACAAAAGGAGGAGATTGATATAATCTATATTTAGTTCCTTTTTCATATGTTTGATAATGATTGGCTCTGGGGCCTTATCTTTCTGAAAATATTAACTGGTGCTTGCTTCAGAGATATTCCTCCATCTGCAGCTTCTGTTGGTACCTCTTTTTGCACACCTGTACCTATGTATTAGGGCGCAGGAGGAAGAGGTCTGTTTGCTCGTTTTGCCATTGTTTTCCACGCACAGAAATGCCGAGTGGAGTAGCTCAGGCCCCCGCACGAGTGACTGCGTGAGAAGAGCAGGCGCAGGGCCATGGGCTGTTCTTCGCACGCTGCCCACGAGCTGGGGCCAGGCGGCTCCGCGGCTGCTGTCCCGGTGCCCTGACGCTGGGTGTGTGCCAGTGCCAGCACACCACGGTGTGGGACCAAACCAGTGCTGTGCCTTCCTCCCTCGTAACACACCGCTGCTTTTAGACTAGAAAGGAAGACCATGGGAGAATTTGTCCGCCAAGTAGACAAGACACCCAAGCCCTGCTAAATCTGTGATTTTCACTTTTTTTTGTGCTAGATACGTTCTGGATTTATCGTGAGCAAGAGGTGGAATTAATGCCCAGGAAGTGATTCTTCTGTCCCGTGTTACACACTCCTCCAGCCCAGAAGTCCTTCATTTTACGGTAAGAAAACCTTTCTTTTTTGTTTCCAAGCTGAGTTCTAAGTCCAAGTATTTAGTAATATTTAAATAAATTTTATGTAAAAACTGTCAATTTTTCAGCTTTCAGTCAAGCACAGTCAGGTGTGTGAATTGCGGCCACAGTTTAGAGTTTAAGACTGTAGTGCCTGGTTCAGTGAATAGCATGGTTTCAGAACAGAGCACAATGTGCAAGCATTTTTAAAGGCTATGCCAGCAATGATAACTTTACCAGTAAGGATAATCCTCACAGTTTTTCTGGGACAGTTGCAACAGTAAGTGATCTGCCTGTGGTAAAGACCAAAGAAAAAGTAGGTGTGTTCTACCTAAATATGTTTTTGCAAGGAGAAGCTTTGTTCCAGGTCTCTCACTGTCCTGAAATAGCAATTTCTAAAAATATGGGATATAAATGCAAACCTATATTTAAATATGTTGAAGCAAGTGTGTGCATTAGCTGACTTCTTGCTGTTGTATTATTACTTCTGCAGTAAGTTTGCTTATGATGTAGACAGTATAATTTTATTTTGATGTATTCAAATATGCTATATTGTGTATGAGAATATAAGATTTTGTCTTCATTACCTAGTACTAAGTATGCTTTGCTTCTCGGCTCGCAGTGCTGCGGTGACCTAGTTGCATAGTTGAATTTTGGTGAAATTAATGCTGGCCAAAATAACCAATAATATTTATCTGCAAATGAATTTCTTGGGAGGGAAAAACTTAACTTCACGCTAATAGCATAGACAGATTTGTGGAATCACTGCAGCAAGTTGTAAATGATGTATGAAATGAAAAATTCCGGTCATGCACAGAACGAGTACAGCCTTTGCGGTCTATGCAGTCACTGCTGTGAGAGGTTATTTGTTCTAATACTACCTCAGAGGTGCCAACTTTTAATTTTTAAAAAAAGTCTCATGCTTGCATTTGAAAGAAGTATGTCTTTAACAGAAACAAAAATTTGTTAGAAATGATGCTGCATCACTAAATATCCTAAGGAAGTTCACTACGTTTTTGTACAGTTCTTTCTGAGCCTAAAGAACGTTTTTTTACAGTATTATGAACTGATATGATGGTGGTAAAAATGATGTCAACTTTCATAAAATGGAAAGCTACCTGACAGGACATGAGATCAAAAGTCCAGTGAAGTTGTGTTTGAGGGGAATAGTGGATTTAGGAACTAGAGTGGAGGTGAGACTGGTATCATCAGTCAGGAGTCCTCGTTTTGTGGGGTCGGACGTATATTTGCATAATAAACGCAGAGTGAGATCCCTTGGGCAGTGTCAGAGACAGAATCTTCTTTCCTGTTTTCCTTCTAAGTCACCCTAACTTTTCTCCTGTATTTATTGACATACATCTCCTGTAGGAAAATGAGATTTAAATTAAAACTTACATACGAGGATCCAAAATAACATTGTCCTAGTAAGTTTTGTATTTGTATTTCCAAGCCTTTGAGTTTGACTGTTTCCTAGCATTTGTGTCTGTGTTATTCTGAAAACGTAGTCTTGAAAGTTTATCTAAGGAATATGTGCATAGGAAACTCCATACATATGAAATGCACAGTTATGTGTATGTAGTTTTAGAACTCAGTGCAAGAACTGTGCCTAGATAAGAAGGTGTTGTTCCGATAAAAGTATTTGGTATGTTCGGAAAGAGAACGCTGGAAGTTACTTTTACTTTGCTTGGAGAAATGTTTCCTTGTGACATCCTGCAGCCAAAAAATCAAACGCTGCTTAGGCTTTTTCTCAGAAAACATTAGCTTCTGCTTTTTAAAAAATAAATGTTAATCTTACCTTCTAGCTACATCTATTTACAGTTCATTATAGGCTTGTGGTTAAAGCAAAAACTATATGAACTATTTTTATCTAAATTAAAAAGAATCCATTAAAATTCTTAAAACCATGAGAAATGACAGTCTGATATCAACCAGTTTCACGGTCTCTTCATTAGTGGTCTTACTGGTCATCTGGATGCTGCCTTACTCTTGAGTCTGTTTTCATTTTTCCTATGAAATATTTCAGATAGTTGTGAAAGGGTGTTAAAAACCTGCTATGCTTCCCACTTCACATAGCTTAGCTATGGCAAAAAAAATCTAAACATTTGGCTCAGAGCACATCCATGTCAAACACCAAATGCAGTTGTATTCTTAAAGACAAAACAAACAAAAAACCGCACACACAAAAAACAAACAAACAAACAAAACACCATAATGAAGAATATTGTTTTGCTGGATGGGAACACTCTCCTTCCCTGAAATCTTTGAAAATCTCAAAGATGCAAAAGGGTTTCTGTATCATTTATGATTCATAAGTGGATCAGTGTTATTAAAATCCACAGGAGCCCTTTGTTCATCTAGTCAGTCAAAGAGCTGCCCATCAGTCACTGTTCTGTGCAGGAGCATCCTTCTGCAGGTTTCATCTGTTTTTTCAATAACCCCTTGGTGTAAAAAAAAAAAAAAAAAAAAAATCAGCTAATTATGCCACTGAAGTACAAAGATTATTAACTCTAGAAGACTCTTGTGCCTTAGCCTTATAGACATTCCAAAAGTGATCTCTTAAGCAAAGGAAGCAGGTTACAGTACCCTTTCTGCACTGCATATTTCCCTAATATGTATTTCCCTAGCCCTCTTACCATGTAATTTTTGTTGTGTTTATAAATTGCTAGTGGTCAGGATTTTTGCCGTTAATACTGAAAACAATTAACAATGAAAGCAAGGTAATTTAGGTTTCTTAGAAAGGAGAAAATAGCATGTGAAGAAATTGATGCACTTTCACAAATCTTGCTTTGTTATTATTTAGTCTTAAAATTCATATTTCTACATTGTGTTTCTGTTCTCTACAAACATGTAGTGCCTAACAGCTTTGCTGTTCTGCTGTGTTCATGCAAGAAACCTGGCTAGAAACAAAGAGGTTAAAAGAAGGCAGCATATAGATGACTTTTAAAGCCAGCATCTAATTTGTTTGTTTACATGATAGCCAGTACAGCCCAGTATTTCTCTCAGGTTGCATATTGCAAAAACAAAAATTCTCAGAGGGGTCAGGCATTGGAACAGGTTCCCCAGGGAAGTGGGGGAGTCACTGGGGAACGTGATTTAGTGGGCAATATTGGTGGTAGGTGGACGGTTGGACCAGGTGATCACAGAGGTTTTCTCCAGCCTTAATGGTTCCACGATTCTATGATTTTTCTTAGTTTCTAGAGCCCACCGTTAAATGTATGTACTGCAAAAGAGAAGTAAGAGTTGCGTGGCAATTACACAGGAGACTGTGGTAAAGTGAGCAGTGATAACATGAATAAAAGAGATAATTAGGCTTTTTTTCTCTTTCTGAAATTGTTTGACATAAATGGCTCTGCTTAGTTACTGCAAAGCATCTAATGCTCAATCCTGAAAAGGTTTTGACCAAATTTGGTTGTGTACGTTCATCTCTGAGGACCTAATAGCACTAGGAATTGTGATTTTCATTTTCTAGCATGAAAAAGTACTGTCTATAAAGGAAAACTTTTATTCTCAGTGATAGCAAATAGATTGCTTCATATTACTGTCATTTAGCTGAGCTTCTCAGAAGATGCTTCAGAACTGCCTATGGCAAAACTGACATCCTCGTGTTTGTTTTAACTGAAATGGAAAGATAGAAGTCATCTGCTGCTTAATTTCTGCTTGGATTCAAATGAAGTTTGTACAAGAAGTGTGATGTGAGTAAAGAGTTTGTGTGCTGAAAAGGACTTTATCAGACTGGATGGAAGTTACTTTTCCCTCAAAGATCAACTTTTTTATACTTCTTATTTGTAAGCCTTCTGTGAAAATCACTCGTGGGTTTCCTGAAACGGGGCTGAAGACCCTGTGCTGTGAGATGCTGATAAGAGTGAAAATTTGGGCTATTAACTAGGAAGAACTGGTTGACTCTGAAGAAGTAATAAAAATTAGGTAAAATCTGGTAGATTCTAGTAACTTTTGCTGTTGGCTGAAAGTATGCCATTGGCGACGGATGAGGGTGTCTTAGCTGACGGCATGACTGGGAGTCACCAACACGATGTGTTAGTCGACCCTAGGATGTATGAAGGAAAAGTAATTCCAGAGAGGTCAGCAAAATACTAGTGCCGTTGTGATAGCCACTGGTAAGAGCTCATCTCTTTATGGGGGGAAAATGGAGCAATGTGAAATCAGGACTGTCTTCCAGTTGGAGAATCGTGCTCAGAGCATCTCTGCATCTAATCATTTCCCAGGGCTGTAACAATTAGCAGCGAGTCAACACTTTTTTTTCCTTAACAAGGAAAGTATGGTAGGTCATTTCTCCTAATGATGCTCTCCGAATGTGTTCAATACAAATGGTTTCGTAATCTGACAAATAGGAAGAATAACATGAAGTGAAAGATTGTTGTTTTTTTTTTCTAACAAAACATGCTTGGGTTTCTATTAGACTGGTAGAAGGTGTATGAAGAAAACAGCTCTTGAACTCTTTACTAAATTGATATACTAATCAGGACAACTTTTCCCAAAAGGAAAGGGGAGTCCCATGTTGCTTGGACTCTTTCCTATTTTCCTTTTTCTGAAATAGAAGATTAGGAGGTCTCTGCACCGATGTGATAAAACGTTCCCACAAAATTGTATTGTATTGTCGCCTTGAGTTGGTGGTGAAATGAAGTTGTTCGCTTTCAGTGCTGCTTTGTTTTTGACCCCTTTTTGTGAATTCTCTGAGGAAAGAAACATATTCCCATCTTTTATAGTAATCAAATTTATCTGGCATCTCTCAGCCTCTTGCATTACTTATGCTACAGTTGGCCAGCCTTGGGAAGGCTTTAGCAGGTTTATTTATTTATTGTTCTAAAGTGAAGGTTTTTGACTTGAGGTCCCCATATAATCCTAGGGGATTCTGAGAGAAAAACTGAAAGTGCTTTCTGCCATTATTTTTATATAGTTATTATCTGTGAAACTATAAAACAAAACAAAGCACACAAAAAACACAACCCAAAAACCAAACAAAACCCACATGT